GGAGATTGGAATTAGAATAGCGCTTCAAAGAGAAACTTGAAGAAAGCTGATGACTACAGAAAACACTGACGAGGGTTACACAATAATCCAGCAACGAGGCATTCCCAGCAGCTGCCTTAAGTAGTGAGCCCGTGAGAGTGTTGATCACATGATTGTTTGCAGGGGCGGGGGTCACAATGAACTCCACCCTGGTAGAGCACAGGGAACAAGAAGGGACAAAATAAACAAAAACACTTGCAGCCATGCCGAGTCAGCCGACCGGTCCCTGTGCCTGTTGAGAACCTGACTGATGATAACGCTCCGTTTCACCACTATTAGAGGCAGATCCAGAGTTGGCACCAGTGTAAAGGAACTGGACTGGCACCCAGTCAAAGCTGGTGGCCATTTGGCACAGGTCACTTTACAAAGCTGCCCTGTAAAAATGGACAGACAGTGCAGTGAGGATACAACAGGAGTAGTTTGCTCTGTCTTCCATGTTTCAGTTAAATTCCAGGCAGCAGCGTTTTGCACCGGCTAAAGATCAGAAAGGAAGGACTGCCAGCACTAACACACAAAGAGTTACAGTATACTAATCGAGTTGTGTTCAAGGCGTGGATTGCTCTTTTAAAGTTTTTTATTATTATTTTTTTGCCAGCTGTCTCAGCTGAAAAAAACTGGATTCCACCTGCTGATCATCCCATCAACCTAACCAAGGGAAAAAAATGTCAGATTAGCTTGGGTAAAAGACCGAAAGTTGAGGCACACAACGATGGGTGCTGCTGGTAAACTTTCTGGGCTGCCTTTCCTCATAACAGGCATCCCTCAAGATTTTCTCCATTTAAAGCAATGCATTATCAGGGATTGTAACATCTAGTCCTTTTACTGAATCTTATCATCCCAGCAGGGTATCTGATGAGCAGCTGGGTGTAGGTGTTGATCCCCCAGAGCTCAGTCGCTGACAGGTCAGAGTCAGAAAACTCCTCAATAGATTCTCTCTTAGATAGTTTTCTCTCTCTCAGGGTAACACCAGGGCTGTGAGGTGGTGAAATGAGGTTGACTGCAAGTAAAACAGAGTCAGCTTATTAATGTAGAGTAACTTCACTGACATGGTGACTAACATGACAAACAGGTGAGCTCATTAACTTCAGGTGTGCAGAAACAAAGGGCAGGAAGCCAGAAGTGGTCCTGCCCAGCAAGACAATGGCATGGTTAGATGCTCACACACATTCACACAGATACAGAGAGAAAGACTGAAGGGCGGGGAAGCACAGAAGGACCATGACAGTTTCAGGGTTACAGCTCCGAATGCTCCTTTCACCCCTGGGACCACGACACTCTTCATTATAAGAGACTTTATGGTATTAATCTATATGTTTAAGTCATTTTTCACATATAAATGTATTTGATTTATGAATGTTGTCTTTTACCTTGCAATTACTTGTGACCATTAATTCTCTAATGTAGAGTGGCTATCCTCTGGCACCAAGAGGATAAAAATGATTGGCTTAATTTAGACAGAACAGTCTCAGCTTTGGATTCAGACAAACAACAAATGTGTAAATGAAACCTACATCCAAGCACCACATTTGAACTTTTCAGGGGTTCTTTTAGAAACAAAGACTGGACCACTGGGAAGCAAAATGTTTGGTTTATTAAAAATATGTTTCAAATACACTCATGTAGATGAGTCTGAGGGTCAGAGGCCGTCTCACTGCAGAGAGTCTTCAGGCTGAATCCTCAGGTGGTTCCTGTGCTGACAAAGACAGAAAATGTTGGAAACACTCGTGTGGGATTGGACAGGTAAATCATCAGGAGATGAGGCGTGCTTTTTATTAGCCAGCTGGATGGACAGTGCTCCTGGATTGGCTGACTGGTGTGGGGTTTCCCCTCTTCAAGAAGAGATTGGGCTCCAACTTCAGGGGGATCTTGCTTCTCAGC